TCTCAAAACAAAACAAAACAAAAAAATCAAAAATAGATTGAGTTAAAGAAAAAAACCTCATATCTTATTGAATGGTTTCCTTCCACAATCTGCAGTCTTGAGATCCTGTTGGTTGTGATTTTCTTTGCCTGTCATTTGGCTCTGTGGGTGTTTGAGATGTCCTTCTTGCCCTATAGACTCCTATAGATGATTGTTCCCATAAGACTGTGATTAAGGTCCAAGCCGTAGAGTGTACTTGCTCTCCTTGATAGATGGGGAACCTGTTAGAACTCTTCTTTGCTCATTTAGGCTACAAGGCTGTGGGGGAGAGTTCATGTGAGATGTTGGACTTAATGTTGACACTTGTGGGGTCTGGTTGTTCTTTTCTCTCTCCATGTGTATTTTCTTGTCCAGCATCACATCAGTTGGTCACATCATCTGCTGTCCCATGTCATCCTTTTCTGGGGGTAGGGTGCTCCTCTGGGGTGAGTCTATTCTCTCCCTTTTGATTTCTTTAAAGAATGTTTGATACCCAAAGGATTTTTTAGTAGTGTGGAAACTTGCTAGAGTATGGGCCATGTCCTGCCATGTTGTTAAAGTATGGATGAGCTAGAGTATGTATATCTGTAGAGAATGCTTGACATGTTGGAAATTAGCTTCATTGTGTGTGAAAGGTGGGGGTTTAGCTGCCACTAAGGGATAATAACATGTCCTGAGAGTGCAGCTGAGCTATGTGGAAAGCATCTGCTAGGGGTTTACAGAATCAGGACAACTGGGTTTGCATTAGTTAATTTTTCTTGTTGCTGAGACAAATTACCTAATACCCAAAGTTAAAAAAGGAGGAGAGGTTTATTTAGGCAACAGTTTGTAGGGTTTCAGTTCATAATTAGCTGGCTCCAAGGCAGAGTAGCTTGTCAGACATGCATTGCAGAGGAGAACGAGTTCATGGTGGGCAGAAGGCAGTAAAGCAAGGAATCAACCAACTACAAGTATCTAGCAGGAAGCCTCCCTTATATTGTATCCAGGCTACCTGCCTTTTGAGCAGATAGTACTCACACCCTTAATCCTAGTATTTCACCATAAATCAATCAAGCATTCTAGATCCAACCACTTTTGAAAAGCCGACCTAAGATTGCAAAAGGCATTAGGAGAACATCCAGACACAAGCCATAACATGGTTTAAGGACATTTGGTAGATGCAGTGTACATGTCCTGGGAAGTCTCTGTTAAAGAAGGCTAGTCTGCTTGCAATGGATTTTGTTTTTTCTTGATCTAAGATGTCTTAATTTCCTTTGCAGTTTTGAAAAAAAATTTCTTCAATATAGATTCTAGATTGACAATTAGCATCTAATTTGTCTGTTGAAAGTTCTGAAACTAAACTGCACCCCTAACCCCATATATAATATGTTAGTTTTCTCATTTTGCTTTAAGGAGTTTTTTCTTTATCTTTGGTTTTCAGAAATTTAAATATGATGTTCCTTTGTATAGATTGCTTTGTGTTTTTCTTCCTTGGGGTTTTCTGGGGTTCTCAATTCTGTTGTACTACTACTGCTATTACATTTTTTTCTTCTTTCTGCTTGTCTTCTTCTTTCTCCTTCATCTTTTTCCTCTTCATCTCCTTTATCATCCTCCTCTTTCTTCACTATTTTAGAATTTTTGACCTGCTATTTTTTTTCAAATATTTCTTTTGCTTATCTTTTCTTTTGGTAGGTCCATAACATACTATTGAAATGCTTGAAACATTTTTCCTGGTCTGTTTGGATTTCTTCCCCTTTTTTTTTTTCAGTCATTTCTTCTTCCTCTTCTTCTTCCTCCTCTTCCTCCTTCTCCTCCCCCATCTTCTTTTCTTTTCTTTCTTTCTTTCTTTCTTTTTTTTTTTTTTTTTTT